TACAATTGGGGTTTAAATTTCTTTTTCTCTTTTCTATGTTTGTGATTTGATTTTGAGTGTGAATATAAATATGTTTATTGTTAACTATTTTTTTATTACGCTGTGTTTTCAGGTACAAGCAATAACTAGTCCATAAATATTTTAAGTGATACAAAAAAGGCCTTATAAAAACACAAGTCTAATAAAAAAAAATAAAATTTAAAGCCTCAGTTCAAGAAAGACCCCATAATTTATAGGTGTGCAATAATAGTCCAAACAAAAAATTTAAATATATGTCCCAACAAAATATTTCAACTTAAGTAGATTGTGCCTATTAATTCAACCGTGAAATTAAAAGGCCTTAAAATTTATTTCTTTTAAATAAAAAAAAACTATCCGTAAGAATAAAGCTACTAAAAATCTAATTTTAACCTCCAAAAAAATTATGTTTAAATTTATCGTCTTAATTTTTCAGTCATTCTTTCTTTTTTATACCATTAAGTTCAAATATGATAATAAAAAATTGAATATAAAATTTTAATTAATATTTTTATATTTAAAAAATTAAAATTTAATTTATTATTAATATTAAAAATAAAAAAGTCTCATTTATTTTTCGCTTTAGGGCCAAAATATCTCGGGTCTACCCGTGGGAAATGAGAGTGTGTATGCAGTGTCGGCCCAACCTTTAGGCCACTTAGGCCATTGCCTAAGGCCCCCAAATTGGAAGAAAAATTTGGGCCCCCCCCAAAAAAAATTAATGATTATTTTAGAATATAATTTAAATACTTAATATATTTTAATTATTGAATTAGTAGTGAATGCTAAGTTTAAACAAAAATTACTATTTTTCTAATGTACTTAATCCTCAAATTAAGTGCAACTAACATTATTGTAAAATTTTTAGAACCTCTTTTCAAAAATTTAGGGCCCTAAAGTTCAACTTATTTTTTTGTCTCACCTGATATTTATATTATATGTATTATCATTTTGCAGTCTTCTTATTAAAATCAATTGTCTATCGTATAATAGGTACGGATAATAATTTTATATTTGTATAAGTTAAATTTGAAATCATTTTTTAATAATTTTAGTTACGATACACAAGATGACTATAAAATAGAGTGAGTAAAAATAATATACTAGCTATCTTAGATTGATTAACCATAATTGTCTTACTAAAATTTTTTATTTAAAAATTACTCTTTTTCTCTATGATATCTAACAATATCTCATTTATATTAGGACTATTCAACTTGTATAAATTCCTATTTTATATATATTTATAAAAAAATTATTTTACTAGTCAACCTAATTTTCAATTATGTTTCTCTTTTATCTTAAACAAATAGTATGTATTATTATATTTGATCTCTGTATTTGACTTCGATTAACATAATTTTTATTTATAAATTTTGAATTAATATATTATATTTCAAAAGACAAAAAAAATAATTTATAAATAAATATATGTTATTAAATTTTTAATATTATTATTATTATTAAATAAATATTTATACGACCTCTTATAACATTTTCGGTTAGGGCCCGAGTTAGCTTGGGCCGCCCGTGTGTATGTCACAAACTCTTTCATCCTGGGATTCCATTGAATTGAATGAAAAAGCGTAAATCACAACCACATCGAGCATGATCGTCAGAGATCTCTTCCTACACTTTCATTGCCGAGTTTGCGCATATTCCGTACAGCATCGCTGGGACCAGCCGCCGCGGAGTCAAAATCCGGAGAAAGCGGAAAGAAGACGTCGGATAGGCGGTTTCGGGGTTGAACTGTTATTGCTTGAAGCCAGGAACGAGCTCGAGCCGCCGGCAACGAACCTGTCCCTTTAATCACTCTCGGTAGCTAAAAACTCAAAATTTACTCTGTATACATGTATTCTCGATTTTTAATGTAAACTTAAATGCTTTTGCGATTTGTTTTTGCATTTTCACGGCCAAAAATATGCTTGTTGTTGTTTATTTGAAGTTTAATTGTGAGAATGTTGTGAAAATGTAATAGAAGTTTGATAATGGATAAAATTTTGAGTTGTTACATGTTTGATTGTGGAGAACACGTAGATAATGAAAGAAAACCGAAACTTTTCCCCATTGGTTGGATACTCAATCAAATGATTGTTATCTCTGAATGGAATTTTACATCTATTATCCGTGAAATGGACTAGATTGATTTGAAATTTAAAACAAACCATCTACAAGTTTCACGATGGATTATTCCGTAAAATGTGGAATTTTTGTTGTTTTATGTTAGTGACTAGTTGATGGTAATTCAAAACTGGTACCTAGGAAATTCTGTTTGGTGCTAGATCATGGTCTCATGCTTGTTTTCTCAGGAATAGGAGTTACATCTGTAGTGTAGTGGAATATTTATTAGATGAATTAGTGGTGAGAATAGTACAAACTTAATCCAATTATGCGTTTACTGTTTCTTAAAGGGAACAAAGCAGCTAAGAACACTCAAGTCTTTTCATAATATTTGATTCTTGAAGACATAAATAATGGTTTTGCTTTGTTTCTTTGTATTCCTTTGCTTATTAATGTATGTGGTAGTGCTATTACTATGGGCTTGTCTACATCCGAAGTGTGGTGGTGGTGGTTCTCCCAATGTATGGCCTACAGGTGGGCACATCCTAATCCAACGGGCTATTCTTTCTTTTATAAGAACACTTATTCTCCTTATGTTGGAAGGATTGTTTCCTTTCTCATAAGGGAAGTTGTTCTCACATTGCTTTTTGAAGAGTTTTTTGGTCTCACGTGTTTCTTTGAATTCCCCGCCACTTCATCAGCCACTTTTTCTCCATTTTCTCTCTTCAATTCTTTGTTACCTTGTCTAAAACTCTGAATTTACTTCATTTGGAAAGTTTTGAGTTTTTTCTTGGCACAGGATTTATGCTATCAGGCCCTTATTCTTGACATCTATTTTTTATTTGTTAAACCATAAACTTTAATTTGAGATTATTCTTGACATCAACCTTAGTCACTCAAGTTCCTATGCTTGACAGTATAAAGGTCATGTACTATTTTCCCCTCTATTCTAGCAATTTCCTCTCTTTCTTTTCTCTCTCAATTTGTTTTTCCTCTTTTCAACCATATAGTGACTATAACTTCCTATAGTAAGCTTTGTATTGACTTAACTTACATTAACCAAAATACTTGGTACCTATAGTTTGATTTCTTGTGTGCCTGTTTGCATGAGTCTACATTAGTTAAGACTGAAATGAAATTTCAAAGGCCCTGGCATGCCCTGGATACCCTAGGTTGTCACTCTTTTTTCCCTGCATATATTGATGAAAGTGGACATTGATCATGTACAATATGCCATTCAATGGTGCCTTTTTAAGCCCTGTGAGGTAGTGAATGGAGGCTCTTGTTGACATTTTTTATTGGGACAATGTCAGCTGATAAAATCAGTAGGTCATGATATTAAGTCAAATTAATATGTTCCAATAGCATTTTTTAAAAAAAAAAAAAAAACAAGAAAAGAAATGTTCTAAACATGCATTCTCTGATATCAATACATATGGCCGGCTTGGTAAAGCATTATATTTGTTAGGTTAGATTTTTTTTTCTTTGGCGCACTTGATAACCTTGTAATTCATGATTGTCATGATGACCATGGAACCGTGAACTTTGCAAGAAGTGGTGGGCCTGGTGGTCAAAATGTCAACAATGGTCAGCTGACTTCTTTCTCTGTTGTTATAGATCCGAATTTGGATCCTTTTCTTTACAATGTGTGTGTGTGCACATGTTTATCAAAGTGTTGCCACTTATATCCAAGATTGCATGCTTATTTTATTTGCAGTGAGCACCAAGGTAGATATGCGAATCTACGTTAAAAGTGCAAATTGGTTAAGTGACAGAATCTTGGAGAGGATTATGCAAATGATTAGTTAAAGCCATTTCTTATCTATTTAAATTGTTTCTTTATCCCATTTCTTGTCCTTCTGCATAATGTGCCACTTTGTTTAATAAGGAGATATGGTTTCCTAAGAAAGTTTGGCAGATTGAATGATCACTTTTTATTATGCAGACAGCCTTGGTTTCAATACTGGTGGTCTAATCATCTTGTTGGGTCATGTCTACTACCAGTCTGTTTAGATGCATTCTACTCTTTTTTGATTTCTGATATTAACTGGCTTTGTCAGAAAATTTATGGGACTACAAATGTTTCTTTTTTTCTTTTTGCTCTGGAAGACAAGGTACTCATGTCTGTCTGTCCATATGAAATGCGGTTCAGTTTGCAAGTGTTTTAGGTACATTCCATTATGTCTATTATCTGTGTCTGATTTATACTTACATACCAGTGCCCAAGTTCTGCGTGTTGCCATTTGCTTGCTCCATGGCATTAGTATGTAAGATTCGCCATCACCATCTTGCTCCTTATTGATTTGTCAAACTATCACTGTTATTATGTAAATATGAAGGGATCAACACCCAACGGGAAAAAAAGAGAATGGATCGATGCAGAGTTTTCACACTTGCTTGATTTGATAGACCGGTAGACAGCTGATGGGATCTGATCCCAAATCTTCAACAACAGTCAGAAAAGAAGATCGCAGGACTGCTGGAAGGAAGTTGAGAGTAGTATCGTGTCCATTGTCCTAGTTATAATACCAAAAAGTGCAAGACATATAGGAACGAAACTCAAATGGAACAGGTCATGTATAATGAAAACGCTTCCATAGTATTCAAATTGCCAACCTCTTTTCGTATTTGTTCCAATTATGATGTATTTGAGACGTAACAGGTGGCAAAATTTTCTCTTAGAGGTAGGGACATTGATGCCAAACATCTAATGATCTGGAGTTCCATTTGCTCAAGTTGTATATACTGCAGCATATTCATTGCTTATAATCCATTAGGTGTATCTCCGAGCGTTAAGAAAGTAGACACTTGGCTTGTATTACTACCAGACTCTTAAAATGCACCAGTTACTTCTGTTCAGTGATCTTAGCTATTAGAGAGAGAGAGAGAGAGAGAGATTTTCAATTCTTTTGATTGATTTTCCACGAGAGATTATATGTACAAGATACATGTTCCCAGGTTAGCCAGAAGAAATAAGAGAAAGGGAAAATGACCGTAGAGTTCTCTTTAATTTACAAACAGAACAAGAAAAGAAACAAAGAATCTGTGTACTAATACTATTCCCCTGCTCATATGTCTTTAGAACCCCCCTTCCTCAAAACCTTTATCCTAGGAGTGGTCTATCTATCCAGAACTCACTTCCGGATGACATACTCTTCGCCTGAGCGTCGATCGATGTGCTTGATCCACCGACTTTCGCCCTTGCCAGACTTTGAGCTCGCCCCACTAGCTGCTACATTAGCAATGTCCAATCCCTTCCCTACCGGCAGAAACACTGACCGAACGACCCGTGATTTACCATCAAGGACGCTACGCCATCGAAAATCCGAAGCTGTTCTTGAGTTAGCATTCTTGCATACCAATACTGCACCCCTGTGGCCTAACCTAGCAACCCTTAATATTCTTGCAAAGTCATTTCGCCTGCAATCCACCACAAGGAAGTCTATGCCTATTAAACTACTCATCGCTTCCTCAGGCTGACCAACAATAACTTCCGGTGATATGCCTGATTTTCCTATAGCTTCGACGTACTCCGATCTTGATTGCTCATCTGAAACTATGCATACATGTCTTCCACCACTGTGACGGCTAGCAATTGCAAGGCCAATGCTTGTCGCCATAACTCCACCCTGTGACCATGTTTCCACAATCAGTTTGGCGTTCCAACCGGCAGCCATGGCCGAAATAAGTTCTGCAACGCTTGATTCATTGAAAAGTTCACACTGCCACAGAGAAACAAATCAAAATAAGTCAAATTATTCAATAATATGCATGAAGAAACGAAACAAATACTGATCTGTTATTCTTGCTGGTTACTTACAGATTTTACAGTATCGATGTAAGCCTTTGAAGCCGTCTCTGGAGACCAAACTAACTTCATATCTTCTTGTTCTTGAATCTTCCTGTTTGTTTCTTCTCTTTTTCTTGTTCTTCAAGCTCTACTTTTCTTTGTGGCAAAGCAAAATGATGGTGGCACATGTGTGTCAAGATTGGCTTCTTAAATGATAGAGAAAGAGACCCAGAATGGGTCATGTCAGAACGTTGACATTGCTCCAGGTAAATCCAACGTGTTGATAGGGTTTCCAATGGATTTGTATTATTCTTCTCTGAAACTAACTACCCTGGTTTCGAACCTTTCAATTCCATTTTTCTAATAAAGCAAGCTGAGTTTGCTTAGTAGCCAAGTTGTTTCTACATATTACAAGGCTGGTAATATTCGTTTGCTTTGTGAGATATTCAATGAAACAAGCAATGGTATGAATGTAAAAGTTGTTGTTTATCTCTCTTAAATTCTCTTAAATACTCTAGTTCTGGCGTGAATTATCTTCTTTTTATTGAATTGAGGAGAAGATTAATTGATATGCGTGTAAACTGATTTAATCAACCCTTATCGTTGAGCCAAAAACAAAAAAGTCCATTGCTTCCCACATCACTAGGATCTTATGAATGAATTAATATATTGTAGTGGAGGTCAACAATTGATTTTTTGAGGGTGAGGTTGCAATTGATCTTTCTTATTTAACATGGGGAAGTGCAATAGGTCAATAATTGATTTTTTATTTTTTTGGGGGTTAAGACAACAATTGATTTGTCTTTCAAAGTTTTTTTCGAACAAATATTACTTCAAAATTAATTTATTGATTTAATTTGTTTATTTAATTGTTCATTGTCATGGAATTGACATTGAGCAACTATATTTGGTGTGATAAATATGATCAATAAATTAAATTCAAATAATATTAATGTTCTATATCAATAGTGTCCATTAATGATACGCTCAGTCTAATCATGAAGTTGGTTCTCCATTTCTATGAATGACTATGGATTATGGAATATTCGAGGATAAAGAAACAAGGGTTCAAGCTATGAAAAAGTGGTAAAGGTGAAAAAACAAAAGGTGTGTGTTTGCATAATCGTGTTTGAACACTTTTATCATTATGGATAGAGCGATTAGTCTTCCTCTTACAATTAATAAAGACAAATACATAGTTTTTTTGAATTACACATAAACCCGAATAGATTATCAAATTTTAATTTATAATAAATTTTTTGAATTAAGTTACAAATTGGTAAAAAAAATAGATTTGGACCCCGTTAAGTCACTTATTTTAAGTCATGGATACAAAGGACAAAACAACATATGTGTCGGGCATACCTCCTATCAACCTAGATGCAATGTTTGTTTTTTACTTTGAACTTAACCTACTAGCAGTTTGTGGCGGGTTTCAACTTTAACAGAGAACCCTTGAAGAAGAAACGGTCTACGGGAGACAATGTGTGGTCCAACAGCATAAGAGGTCATGGCGTCCGTAAGATCAACGGAAGTACGGAATGTCAGCCACCAGATAATTTGACTTTAGCCCATATCAAACGCGTTCATTGGCTGGTGAGATTGCCACGTCAGTGTCGACAAAGCATAGCATAGCTCCCCACTCCTGTTTTTCTTTGTTTTTTTGCGCTTTTTCCAACGTTGGGATATAATTCCCTACTACGTGTCATGGAAAACCAACGAAAATGTCTGTCATTGCTTACGCGGGTGGGATATTTTAAGAAAGGCAAGGAGCACTGTAATAATGACCTATAAATTTAATCATCATGAATTTAAATTTTAATAAATTTTTAAAATTAAGTCATAAAAAATTTATTATTTATAAATATCTTAATCTCAATCCGAAGAGAATTATTTAAAATATGCGTAAATTAACTTATATATCTTTAATTGTTGAAAAAAAAAGAAAAAAGAAAAAAGATACGATAAATTAAACTCACTTTTCATCCCACAATAAGTATTGCATAAAAAACAACTCTTTAATTTTGTTAACGGTATATTATTCGCCGTGTATTAAATGAGATGCTCGTTTAATTGTCATGCAGAACTCGTGGCGGATGAATTATCATTGAGGGATGAAATCGATGAAAAGTGTATTCAATGGAATCCAAATATATTTTCTTGTAGTAGCTAGGTATTTTCTCTTTTATGTGTTTTCTTTACTATTGCACTGTTGGTGTTCAAAATTTTAAGACGTGTAAAACATTGTATTTGACTTATATGATCACTTAAGGTTACATTTTTTAAGCGTGGAAGGACAATGCTTAACAATTCACATACCTACCCGATTTTGATGGAAAATGCTACTCTCTCGTTCTTAAATATCTGTTGTTTTACACAATTTTTTTTATTTCATAATATCTGTTGATTTATGAAATCAAAGTATAATTAATATTTTTTCTTTTAAATTTATTCTTAACTTTTCAATATATTAGATTAGGTGGAGTCTAAGTGTTTTTCATATTTCTTTCATTCCTAATATATATTGAATAAAAGTATTTTAGTCTTGTGTAATTATTTTTTACTCATATTAAAGCTATTTAATAGTTTCTTTAATCCCTGTGTAAAAACCTTAAACGACAGATATTTAGGAACGAAGAGAGTATTTGAATTTAGTTTAAAAATTATAGCCGGGAATCCTATTCAATTATAGCTGTTGAATTAGATGTGAAGCTTATCTACTACTCCCTCCGTCCCTAAATATTTGTCGTTTTACACAATTTTTTTTGTTTCATAATATCTGTCGTTTAATGAAATCAAAACATAATTAATTTTTTTCTTTCAAATTTATCCTTAACTTTTCAATACATTAAATTAGGTGGAGGCTAAGTGTCTTTCATATTCCTTTCATTCCAAATACGTATTGAATAAAATAATTTTAGTCTTATGCAATTATTTTTTACTCGTATTAAAGCTATCTAATAGCTATCTTAATTTTTTTGCAAAAATCTTAAATGACATATATTTAAAAACGGAGGAGGGAGTATGAAAATTCACAACTAATTTAATAGTTACATTAAATTAGATCTTTAATTACGTCTTCAAATTAAGTCCTTATAGCATTAATTAATTTTGATATGTCAATTTGTAAGTCTATTTTAAGTTGTTTTCTATAATATGTGATGGGTGTGAAGTTGACTTTTTAATTTAAATTCAACGGTTAAAGTGTTCGACCTAACTTACATCTATGCACTTCGACCAATTTTTTTTTTGATTCAATCAAAGACATATTATCCACAGCGGGACTAAAATATTCATGAGCGATAAATCTTTCATGATCTGACCCTAAAATGTTAACAAAATTTGAACCTAAAATGTTAACAAAATTTGAACGTAAAAAAATTTGGTCGAACAAAAAGTCGATTTTTTACGTAACTTTTATTTTTTCGGAAGGTATAATTTAGTTTAATTTAATCTAACTTTGGTTGGAAACAAGGGTTAAAAGTTGGTTTTTGTTGGCCACTCCATGTACTCGAGGCTAAATGACATTGACCTTCCTCTTTGTTTTAGAAGTGTCAATCGGGTTAAACAAGTGATAAGTGAAAAACGTATAAATTTATATATGACACGTTTAATAAATGGGTAAAAAATTTCAACACAAACACGACTCGTTTAATAAACGAATAACACGACACGACTCATTTAATTTTAAAAAAAATTATATCAATAAATTATAATATTTCATTTTTTTTATTACTAATTGCACTTACTTCAAAAAAGAGAAATTTTAAATCAAATTTCATAAAAATAAAACTTGAAAACTTAAAAAAAAAAAAAGCAAAAGGCTATTATAGGCAACTCACCCTCCCCATCTCCCCTAATTTTTCAATATGGGACAAAAACAAAAGACATTAGTTTGCCTTTGTCTTTGAAGTGTTTTACAACTCTTCTCCTTTATCTTTGAAAAATAAGACTCGAAGGTTTTAAAAATAAAAGCAATAGCCTATTGTCTTTTATAGGTAATTCAATCCTCCTCATCTCCCCTCATTTTTTAATGTGGGACAAAAATAAAAGATATTTGTTTGCTTTTGTTTTTGAAGTGCTCTCCACCCCTTCTCCTTTATCTTTAAACTACTACTTTTACTTTTTTTTTATTATTGATTTCTTTACTTCTTTTTTCTTGTTAATTTTTTAAAATAATTATTATATTAATTTTATTTAAACGGGTAAATGTATGATAAACGGTTTGACAGGTCTCACCCGAACACGACCCATTTATTAAACGTGTTTGACGTGTCAACCCGTTTATCATCCAAATCCGTTTAATTCGTGTCGATTCATGTCAATTAATCGTGTCGTGTCGAATTGTGACCGCCCTTCTTTATTCTTCTGCAGCTGCCTTATTTTCAAACTCATCGTTGTCATTACAAGTATTGAACGTCTTTTAATTCACAACTTGCTCCAAGTGTAGAAATAAATATATTGGGTCTTGAACCTTGAAGCTATAGAGAGTTTATCAAACAGGTGAACAATGCTTGTGGAGCCATGATTGATCTTCACTGTTTGAGTCATTCTAATCTTTATGAGGCTTAGGCAGTGGTTCACAAAAACACAAACAATCAACTGTTCAAATCAACGTTGAATTAGCGACGAATCCAGAAATTTAATTTTGGTGGTGTAGTACTTCAATTTTTATTTGTTATTTTTATAAAAACCTATGGCCGAGGTTTTTTAAACCTTCGACTGGAGCGAGGGGGAGCGATCGTCACATCTTAGATCCATCATTGGTGAAAATGATTGTAGTATGCATTAGCTCAATTGGTTTCTGTTGAATATTACTTAATTGGGCATAGAATTGTAGTTTAAAACCCAACTTGGTACTGAAAAATAGAGCTAACACTTCCACCCAGATGGGATTGAAAATGGCATGTATTATCTTACAGTTATCATTAGTTGACCCTAATGGAATAGAGAATTTAAAAAGCTATAACCTGAAAAAATAATAATCAGTAGTTGACATGAGGAAGCACGCGAAGAGAAACCGGAAAAAAACAAACAAATGGTCATAAAATAACAGAAAAACAGTGTTTTAAAAAAACATCTACAAGACAAAAATAATAATTGTTCAGTGGTTGATCTGATAAGAACTGTATAGGTATATGTGCTTATCTTCTCAGTTG